AAAGATCCTATCAGTCAGTAATTTAAGTTCGACGATCATTACAAAAACTCAGTTCAATATTTAAAAACATGTCGGACAGAAAAATCGAAAAAATGGAACAACTCTTGAGTGCGGGAAACGAGAAAAGTAACAGTGAGGGACTCAACGAAAGCCGGAAAATCACAACAAACGGAGGCCAGACCCGTGGCCGTGGCGGCGAAACCAACAACACCTTTTGTTAGAGACCTGATCAGGTCATGAGTGGTAGATTATTGCGTAGGGGCTTCTATTTTAACCAATGGGTGATGATTATTGTTGCGGTTAAAAGAAGCTATGGGAAATGAGGTACTCGATTATGGACGAGAATCGATGAGAAAATAAGGGAACTGAAGTAAGCCGTGAGGATTTCAGGCGATGTGAGCCAATTGTCTCATGTTGTCGGGGAGGGATAGAAGTTACACGTGGATTTTTTATTTTACACATGGATTTTTTATGAAGTTACATGTATTTTTTTATTTTTTGATTATCAACACAAATTTAATTAATAAATTAACAGAAATTAACAAATAAAGAATTTAAAATGAACACACTTAATGTTTGAATCAATGATCAAATTCAGATAGATAAAAAACAAAGGGGATTATTCATATAATTTACTATTTTTTTTATTAACGTTCTAGTTATTTTGGTTGGTGAACTGTGAGTACTTTCGGAAGCCTTCGCATAATCATATTCTAGCAATATCTCATCATTTTCTTCTCCTAAGGGTTCAGGATTAATAGAAATTTACCGCTTATGGGTCTTTAACAAATCATAATGACAAAATATAATACTAGTCTATCAATAACGGTGAGATGTAATGATAAAATATATTATAAAATTCATATTTGGATCTTAAAAATATAATTAAAAAATTACGAACTCCGAACATAGACCATAAAATAAATATAAACTATATAAAAAATTAAAATAGCATTCCTACTTATGCAAGACCCAATCAATTTGAGAATATACACTCGGATGTAAAAATAATCTATCTTCAACACAATTGTCTGTCACTTGAAAATTGGACTCCAACTACGTGATCTATATCTGATACTTGTCTAAGAACTCGAGTGGTGGCATCATTCCAAAAACTTTATGAACAATATAGATACAGTTATAATCGTTTCGCCTCACGGCGATAATACTATTCACGGGAACACCCAATTAGTAAGTGACATCTTCCAAAGTAATCATCACTTTACCACTAAAAAAATAGAAAGTGTGTGTCTCGGGCCTCCAACGTTCAATCAATATCGAAATCAACGTCAGATTCACCTTAAAACCATGCTGAAATATGGCTAGATACAGATTGAATGGCTGAAGATATATAATCATTCACTGATGCGGATCTCTCGATGTCATTCTGCGTTGACGAATGCCCCGTTCTTCTTTCTGAACGAGTTCAAACAACGAAATATGAACATTATCAAGGCGTAACATTTCTTGTCGGGACGACATTTTTTTGGAGTTTTTCAAAAACTACACTTTTTCTCATATTTTTTTCATAACAATGGATAGTAAAAATCTTAAACCTCAAACCCTTATTTATAACCCCACTCCCAACAGCTATAAGCGGATAGTTTTTTTCAAAAATCAGACCAAACTCGTCACGTCGAGGTGAAGATTTTCATGATAACTCTTAGCAACCGACCGTTTGTTGTTGCCCGTTGCCAACGTGTAGTTTTTTGAATTCAGTAAGGACTCGTCACTTCGAGGTGATGACTTCCATTATTTTTTTATTTTAAATTTTTTAAATAATTTTAATAAAAAAATAATTTCGTAAGAGGTGATGAGTCCTGTTAAATACATTAAAATAATTATTCACGTAAGGCCCACTCAATTTGACCTATAAAATAATATATCTAGTGAGGTGACGAGTTCTCCCTGTATTGTAACATTTGTAATATTTTACTAAATAAAAACATGTGCCCTATTGGGCCAAATAATTTCTTGGTTTGCCCTATTGGGCAAAAAAAACCCAAATATCACAACCCTAAGCCAGTTCTAATCCTTTAAGCCCGGCATGAGTACGAGATGAACCCTTTATATGAGTACTAGATCTGTAATATAACAAAACCCTAGAGGGCAAACCTGGAAACCAAGAAGTACCAACCATTTCCGACCACAATAAAATTTCACAAACCCTATTTCCCCCTTCTCTCAGCCCCCTCCCCCTCCCCCTCCCCGAATTGGAACCAATCCAAGTATCGTCCAATGACAACCCGCTTCAAGAAAAACCGCAAGAAGCGCGGCCACGTGAGCGCCGGCCACGGCCGTATCGGCAAGCACCGCAAGCATCCAGGTGGTCGAGGAAACGCCGGAGGCATGCATCACCACAGGATCCTCTTCGACAAGTACCACCCTGGGTATTTTGGGAAAGTCGGTATGAGGTACTTCCACAAGCTCCGCAACAAGTTCTACTGCCCCATCGTCAACATCGACAAACTCTGGTCTCTCGTCCCACAAGACGCCAAGGCAAAGGCCAACAAGGATTCGGCGCCGATGATCGACGTGACCCAATTCGGTTACTTTAAGGTCCTGGGAAAAGGTGTGTTGCCCGAGAATCAACCGATCGTGGTTAAGGCTAAGTTGGTGTCCAAGACTGCTGAGAAGAAGATCAAAGAGGCTGGTGGTGCTGTTGTTCTTACCGCCTAGGTTTGGATTTTTGCTTTTTTTGCTTTCGGATCTAAATGATATTTCTGCAATATTATGATATTGGACTTATTTTTTAAAATGAGATTTTACATTAGGGTTCTAAATTTTGCTTAAATTAATATATGTTGCTTATTTTCATGTGTTTCGATCTGCTGCATTTCCTTGATCTAGTTGTGTAATGCTCTTTAGTTCTACTTCACTTTGGTAGTCTCTGATTTGCATTATTCTTGACTAGGTCATAAACGAGGTATCTATACTATTCGAGTTCGATAAAAAAAAAGCCTTGAATCTGATTATGCAATTACTGAAATTGAGGCCGAGCAGCTTGAGTTATATCAGTCGAACTGAATTCAGGAACCATAATATCCAAGGCTCTCGAGCCTAACCAAACTTTTAAATTACTTATATATATCAAATTACATTTCTTTTGTTATATATTTATATATTGTAGATCACGAACGATCTTAATTGGAAAACGGAAAGCGGGTTTAATTGAATTTGAGTAACTCAGTTATATTTCGAGATGAGTTTGCCCTTGGAAATTGATGTTCGGTTGAGTTTGAGTTGTTTTTTGAGTTTTGAATTGAGCTCAACTTGTCACTATTCTTGCTAACCCTATTCTTGATTGTTCAATAGCTTTAGTCCATATACAGACATATCAAATTGAAGGATTGTCAACAAAAATATTTCGGCCAACGACTACTTTACTTGAGCTATCTCCAATGTAGGCATAAGATCACTTTCCGGAGTAACCTCCACATCTTGATTTGAAATACCCTGTGACGATTTCACACAAGGGGTTTTATCATCCGATGTAACAACTACCCGGAGTAACCTCCACATCTTGATTAGAAGGTTCCTTGTGACGACTTCACAGGGCTTTTATAATCCCATGTAACAACTTTTCGGCTCTCAATGCCGGATTCATAGCATTGGTTGCCTGCAGAGCTCAGCCTCCTTAGCTGCAATTACTTTACCTGGTTTACTACCCCTCGAAAAGGTTCTTGCAAAGGCAGAGCCAAGCACTTCCTCTGCTAACCAAAAGGATTCCACGGCTTTGGCCATAAAGTTGGTAGCTTCGCCAAAAGCCTTAGCAGCTTCCATATATTGGGCCACGCGAAAGTTCGGAAGAACACCAGAGTCAACGGTCCCATGGGGCACTCATCCAAGAGGAGCTGCAAACAATAACTTAAAGTGACAATCAAAGAAGGCTCCGCCGAGAGAAGGCAACAATGCGTGCACAAGATCTAAACGTAAGGATTGAGGTCTGTTATCCCAAATTCTCCTTAAATAATCAGATAAAGTAATCCATTCCACCACGGTACATACAGGCCACCGCACGTCCAAGTCTGGGATCTATTCAATGAATCAACATTATGACGTCCTCCCAAAATGACCTATTATTAAATGCCAATACTATTTTAACGAAAGTGTCTCTGGTCAAGACACTTTATAATATTTGTTCAATTAAGGGGACAATTGTTGTACCTCCTTTGCATCTCAAGGTCTCTAGAGAACCCTATAAGAGCATTTTCGAATCTCTCAAGGTCTCTAGAGAACCCTAGAAGAGCATATTTGAATATCTGGAGAAAGGACTTCAAATACCTGACATTTTTCAGGAAGTCGTCGTCTTTTAACATAATATCTGATAGATTCATATGATTAACTGACTTATTAGAGTTAAATCTAATGTGATCATATTCACTTAACATGTCAACTTACGAGTAGCCGTAATGACCATACAAATAATATCAACACTAAGACTTGATATAAAGCCTTCCGATCAAAACCTTGAGAAAAGATTGGAACCATCGTTCATCATCTACTTATGAAGATAGAAGTATTCGAGACCAGCCAACAACCGTACAACCACCTATATAACTCTCCATCCAAATCAAAGAAAATGAATCACCTAAAACTACTATAATCGTCTTGTTCCTATCAACAATTATTTGATATAATATTAGCAGAAGCTGCATCAGTATGTTGTTTTTGTGTTTGTATTTTTCCCTTAAAAATCCTCTTTCATGGTTTAGATTGTTGGTTTCTCAACTCATCGTTTGTATTTCTTCTTCGCGTTTGTACTTTTTTCCAAGTCCTATTAGTGTTATTACTTGTAATTGAAAGTAATAATAGAGAAAAAGAAGATTGAAGAAATTTTGGGTATTATTGTTTATCCATATTTTTCCATGATGATTAGTGACTGCAATTTTAGGTTTTGCCCAGGCTGAGTTTTGTATTTTGTAATTTTTTCTTTCATTTTTTATTTATTCGGATTATAGATTTATATATATAAATTCAGGATAAGTAAAACAATTTAATTATCTAAAATATGTCAGAATCAAATGAATTACTCCAGTTGAAATTGGAACAAACTCCACATGCATATATTATATATAACTTGTTCATTTTCACTCATTATTTTCTAACACTTTCTTCCCTTTCTCGTCAATGTCACCTCTCCATTTCTTTATCCTCTCCCCCGCAATTGAAGCCTGCAATGACATATACATACACACGCATGTATATAACTCAAGTTAGATAGATAGATAGATATATATGTGCGGTTGTGTGTTCAAGAGAATTCTTACCTCTGTGTTCCAATTGGTTTTGTAAATCATTCCAAATAACACACAAGTTTGCACTACTGTTCCTAATAGCATGCCACACCAAATTCCCTGACAAAAATTAGGTTAAAAATAATTAAAAGAAAAATAATTGATAAATACTATTTAAATTTATAAAATTAAATTCAATTACAAATTTTAACGATAAGAATACTATAGGATTAGATATTGCATACCTTGACACCCATTTTTAGCCCGAAACCTAATGTAAGACCCAAAGGAACTCCAAAGAGATAATAACATGCAATGTTTATGTAAGCAACGGTAGCTTGCCATCCAGCTCCAATGGCCATTCCTGCATAACAAAAATAATAACTATACATAAATTTAAATAATGCGATCGAAATCCCATATATTGTGGATTTCTTAAAACCATAAAAGCCATCGAGCTTTATATATAGGGTTAGGATTCACTTATACAATGTAAAACTATTTAGTTTTACATAGATTTAAGACCGTGAGATGAGTGAAAATAGATAGCTGAGATTGACTATTTATTTTTTCCCCCAGTGAATATCTTCTCATTTTAAACCGTTAATCTCAACCATCTTTTTTCACTCATCTAACAATTCTAAATCTGTGTAAAACTTATATATATATATATATATATATATATATATATATATATATATATATATGATATACTTTTTTTATAGATACATATATAATATAATTTGAAAATATACAAAAGAATTAGTATAATATATATATTGGAATTCAAAGCTCAAACCTGAGAGTACAGGTTGAATATTGTTGATGACTATGCAAAGAGCCAATAGTGGAGTGAGTTGTATAACGAGATCTTGAACTCGTGAGTCATTTGAGAACAAGTAAGGATAACGATTCCTAAAGATGATGAGAACAAAGGAGATTACGACACCGATCATAAATGAAGATGTCACCGCCGCCACCAGTGCAAATTTAACTGTTCTTGGATGTCCAGCTCCCAGTTCATTTGAAACCCTAACACTGCCACATGCATTCATCCCATTATTATAAAATTTTAGTTTGCTCCATAATTGGTTATTTTTTATATGACTTTATAAGTAAACCAACATTATTGAGTTTCTAGTTTTAATGTTACCTTACAGCTGCATTCAACCCGATGGATATCATGACTGTCCATCCCAGTATGTTCATACTGCAAAATTCAGCATTCCAGACTTCTTAATTCTAATGATATATGAAAAAGTTTTTTTAATAGTTTGGATACTTAAGATATTATTTATTCAAATTTTCTTAATCAATTACTACTTTTAAATATAATTGTATAAATTCAAGATCGAACAACATTTATTTTTATCAGTAAAGTCATGGATTTATAATATAGGAAAAGTTAATACAAGAAGAATAGCATGTGTATGCGTCTGTACACATGTCCATACCATTGTCTGCTTCAAAAGTTGCCAGAATTCATTGCTGATTTTTCTAGCAAAATAATTGGGGAAAACAGTAACAGGTTTTGAAGTTACACAACGTCTAGTCATTGTCCCACATCTGCTAACAGCATTTATTCCTCGTTACTGAATCACCAACCTTCGTTTTATGCATTCAATTTTTGTACGATTATTATTGTCGTTTCTTTTATGTTTTTGAACTTTGTGACCGACAATGATAAGGGAAAGATTCGGCTTAACCTGTGCTTATAAACAAGGGTTAAAAAGATTATTTTTGAAAAGATTATAGGGTAAAGTACAAGTTTATTACTCCAACTATCATTCTTGTTTTGTTTTGGTCACTCAACTATTTTGTCACAAAATCATATCTAACGTTATTTTCTAGTTTCATTTTGGTCACCTACCGTTAAAAATTCATGGCGATGTTTATGTGTTATTATAAGATAATGTCATGTTATCATTGAATATTTTTTTAAATTTCACGGAGGGTGTCCAAAATGAAACGAAAATGTAACACTGGGCATGATTTTGAAAAAAAAAATACTTAGGTGATCAAAACAGAACAAAAAAGATTGTTGGGGGTACTAAATGTGTAATTTACCCAAGAATATATTACATTAATTTTTTAAAATTCAAAATAAATTATAAACATCTCTCTTTTTCTGTATTATGTTAACAAGTATTATTAGACATCAATTAATGTTTTCGGAAAAATAATAAAGTAGCAAATTAAATACAAAAGTAGTAAGTGTTGGATTAAGGAATCCTGAGATCTTGAATATTTTAATTTTTATATAGTTTAAATGTTTTTTAATAAATTTTTTATTATTACAAATTTAATACAATAATTCAGACATCATAATATATATATATATATATATATAATTTGTAAGAAATTATTTAAGGATCGAACGCATTTGCTATAGTAGATTAGAAAGTCGGTACGTACAATGATGAGTTCCTAATACACTATAACAAATGTCGTAGGACCTTAAATAATTTTTAGTAATTGTATTTCTTTATATTTTTTTACCCATAATATTTCTCTAATTTTACATTTTGAAACTTTGTAATTTCATACTTTCTAAAATTTGATATAATTTCTTAGGTTCATATCTCTATATAATATCTTATATTCGTCTTTAATCTATAGCAAGCTTTGAACATACAAATATAATTACTTAAATGAATTAAAAAAATGATTACTTAATAAGTATACTCTTTTGATCATTGATAAGTACACTCACCAGATAGATAATGCATCCACAGAAACTTCAGCGTCCTTCAGGTATCCCGCGAACAGAATCAATGCCATAAAATACCAAGTCTCTAGACTGCAAATGTTTTTGTTTTATTAAAAAAAATTGGCATATATATCAAAATTAATTTCTTATTAAAATGTAATTTGATACATAAAATTTCAGATATAATTATAATATAAAGTTTTATTTCTTTTATAAATATATAAATTTAATTTTGAGTAAAATTTATATATTTATAAAAGAAATAGCTATGAATACATGTATGTTGCAAGAATATAGTTATTCATATATAAAATAATGTCACTAAACGTAGCATAAGTGTTATGCTCGACTTACCATAGCATTACTGCTGAAGCTACAGACAATCTAACAAATCCCCATAAGTTCTGAAATGCCTTCCAAGAGAAACCGCTCCAAGCCCGACCACAAGTGCCACTAATTATGTACAAAAAATGAGACACGATTATGAAAATCCAAGACATATTCAAAACAATGGCTGCACCCACTAGGCCGTATCCCAGCCTCAAAATCAAGAGCCAACTAAATAAAAAGTGTAGAACCAATGCCACACCGGCTACCACCGCCATCACCATCATCTTGCTCTGCGCCTGTAAGAACTTCGCCATCGGAAAGTTAAACGCGTAAGCAAACAGTTGCGGTAGCATCCATATCGCGAACATTCCAGCGGCCTTTGATATGCTCTCCGTTTGGCCTATTAGCCTCAAAACCGGAGCTGCGAATATGTACAACAAGCTTAGGAGCAAAGCCGTTGAGTTGAGGATGATCCATGATCTTTGCATGTACACCCCTAGCATATCAACCTGACCTGCTCCAAATGCTTGGCCGCATAGAGTTTCCAGTGCGCTTCCCATACCTAGCTATTCGAGTTTAATCAAGTATTATTAGTAGCTAATTTAAGTAACTATATCATGGAGATTTAATTTACACTTACCATGATGCCGAAGGAGAAACCAGCGACGACGGAGTTCTCGACAGAGACGGCGGCGAGGGCCAGAGTACTAACTTGGCCGGAAAATACTTGAGTGATGGCTCCGAGTGAGTACCGGCAGACGGAAGTGAAGATGGCGGGACCAGCAAGAAACCAGAGTTTCTTGGACTCAATCAGGTATTCTCTGAAGAAGTCACGGACGCCATTGATAGGCGGGATGTCTTCGGTGCCGATAGTGAAGGTGGTCGACGAGGAGCGATTTGATGGTTTAGAATGTATCTGCCCCTGGTGGCGGCTGTCATCGTCGGCTAACGGAGGGGAAAGTAGGGATTGCCTGGAGTCATCCATAGGAGACGGTAAAGAGCAAGGGATAGAATATAATACAATCTATTGTCCAAAGCTACAGGTCAAAATATAAACGATATGCTTTCAAACAAGACGGATTTGGGTTGGTGGAGAGTGGAGACTATATGATATGTGTATATTAATGTATGGTCCAAGATTAATATGCGCATTATGCGACAGATATTTTAATAAATAAAAAAATTGTATGATACTATGAGGCGGCACTATGTATTTTCATCCTTAATTAATAAAAAACCATGATGAAAAGGTTGAAAAACATAAAATCCATTCCTAATATGTAATACCTCAAATTTTGACTAGTGACTAAAATATAATTTTAAAAGTGTGATGACTAAAGTATAAACTTAGAAAAGTTCAGGGACCAAAAATATAATTTTAAAAATTTGTATATTTTAGCCTGTAAATGAATAGTTTGGCCTAAAACAAGAATTTTCGTGAGAATCATATTTTCTGAACGATATTTGTGTTAAAGATATAAAGCGATAAAGTTCGGTATTGAAATCGAATAATCAGGTCAAATTGGAATTTTATAAAAATTTGAAGGATGTTATAAAATGGTTGGAAATGTTATTTCCATATTTTACATCAAAGAAATTTGACTCATAATGGTGTAATTTTTCAGATTTGGTTGAATATAGAAAATTTAGTGACTAAAATGTAATTTTCAAAAATTACATGTCAAAGTGAAAAGTCAAAATCAAATTTGTTCATCTTTGACCAAAGAATATTTTAATAGAAGATAATACAATGACATTTGATAAATTTCAAATTTCATTAATGGTATTTTTTTGTAATTTCTCACTGAAGAATTGGATTAAGTTAATAATAAATCAGCTCGAATTAAAAATAAATAAATCTTCAATAAGATAAAGGCAATTGAGGCGGACTCTTCATTTTCTCATATATTCCACTTTCTAATTAGTCCAAAATAAAAAAAAAATAGTTCTTTTATAGAGGTGGTTAGTTTTATTTTTTTTAATATTGAGAATTAAAATCAAAATTTATGATTGTAATCGTAAATTAAAAAACCAAGGTAAGGTTTTATTTTTATTTTTAATTTTACATGATTGATTTTTGGACTAAGTTGTGAAATAGAGAATTAATCTACATGAAATTCTCTATCATTTGGTACTAATATTTCATGTTGAAGATGCTTGTGTTGAGATTTATGGTTTATGTAGGATTTTTGGAACTTGAAGAATTGAAGAAGAATTATTTTTTAAGGTTTGAGATTAATTCTAAGACATGTATGATGATTAATTTGATGTGTACATATTTGTATACTATTTGGCCTAATTAGAGTTTTGGAAATGTTGAGATTTTGATGTAATTTGATGTTTTTATGGTTAGAATAGCATGAATTTAATCTAAGGAAGTTGATTGCATGCTTAAAATTGAAGGAAAAATTCACCTTATGTACATAGTGATTTTCGACCAAGTGGGGAAAAATTAGGGGAAAACATTGAAATATTGAATTTTATTTAGTAGGCTGATTTTGAATTTAAATATTGAGTTGGGGTTGAATTACAAGTTTACTAAATTAAGTGGTTGAAGTTGAAAAGTCTAAGAAAATTTAGGATGAAATTGCAAGCTTTTGAGTGTTTAAGTGTTGATTTGAATATTTTAATAAGGTGCTGAAAAATTTATGTGATTAATGTAAAATGGTCATAATGGTGAATGGGATTGAATAAGCATTTTGAGAAGTTTGAAAATTTCGATTGAAGTACGATTTAGTTTTGTATCGATTTTATTTTTATCGAATTTTATATTTAAGTTTAATATATATTAGTTTGATATTAACAAATAGCTTAAATATTTTATGATGTTATATGACGTTGTCAGACTACGCTAAATTTAGTGATCCAAGTAACTTTAAAGAGAAGGAAAGGATGTGGAATTTAGAAGATTATCGTGAAGAAAGTTCGATGATGAGGCAAATATAAGTGTATTTAATTTGTATTTATGTTATCGAACAAACATTGGATTGCGATGAACCAGTGACGAATTTACGTTAAGAATTGACTCTTAGTGTAATAGGAAGTGTGATTTGAGCCTACATGTTCATTTAGTGAACTAATAAATTAGTGAATAAGTTAAGGATGCAAGTTAGTGAAATCTGCCTAGAAAATTATATTCTGAACAGTAAGTTTAGAAAATTACCAGAAATTCAAAAAACAAATTGAAGGATGAATTTTATACTATTGGATTCTTATATCAGTCTCGTTTCGTTTAGAACAAACGACAACTGATTTTGAGGTGTATACAAAAATATATAAATTTTTAATCAGTGATAAGAAAGAAAACGGGGCAGTAGATTCTGCCTAAAACAACTTCTGTCAGTCAACTTTGAAAATTTGTTATAAATTGTAAAAATGGAACTAGATAGAGTGTCTTATATGGTTAAATTTTTATTCGAGTCTATTTTTCAGTGGTGCAAACGAAATAATTTTTTAGTAGGTATATTAATATAGAATAATATTTCTTTGAATGTAGTGCAAACTGCAAAAATATGAAATTATGATAAATTGTGTAGTGAAAGCAATTTAAAGTAAAGGATTAAACCTAAATCTTTGTTAGGTTTATATTTTGATTTATAAGTAAAGTGTTAATGTAACACCCCCAACCCGTATCCGACCCGGATACGAATCTGAGGTGTCACATTGACTAGTCAAAGCATGTACTTTTATAAAAACCATTGAAATTTTAAAACTTTCTGTCTATAAAGTTAATATTTTACATAAACAAGTTTAAAACATTATCAAACTCCATCAGAGCGTAAATTCATAATAATTTGGTTTACATGCCAACATACTAATTTACATAACAAAACATACTTTACAAATATTTATGATATGAACTTTGAGCGGAGATATGCTGCTCTGCTGATCCAAAGCTTGATCTTCTGACTTATCCACACCTACGTGTAAGACACTTACACGCTAAGTCATAGACTTAGTGAGACATGTAAATACATAAAGTAAACTAAAAAATGCATGTATATATATATATATATGTGTATGTGTGTGTGTCTCATGTAACACAACATCATACCATGCTATCACACAAAACAATATATCATTACATATAATCAAAAGTACACCTATACAGATCTTGTTATTATTATCAATAACCTCATATCATTATCCATATTATCTTTATTCATACCTCTTAGTTATCTATTCTTACACTTTACTTTCTTACTATCATATATCACACATATTACTTCAAATTGCAACTACACATATGCACTCATTATTAATATCCTTATTCCTATTATCATGTGATATCCACCTTATCATTTGTATACGTCCAATAACACAAATATCATTTCACAAAAGAACATACATATTATAATAGCAAGTTATTTATTTTGTAGAGCCCATGTATACTTTTGAGAACTGAAGATATGTGAGTACATAGAGGTTGTGCACAATGCTGTCACCACAGCTCATATAAATCCCACTAGGGGCGCGTAGAAATTTTTCCCGTAGGACCACTATGTCCCGAAGGACCACATAGAACACATATGTCCCGAAGGACCACGTAGAACCATCTACTCTTGGAATGCCAACTATACCTATAGCTCTCATAACACATGACATGAGCATTATCTGTTATATCATTTCACATCTTCACATAGACACATATTTTACTTTCATGTAGCATATTTCCATGTAATTCACATTCACGTATCACATAACTTTTCACTTTTATGTTTATTCTTTTTCACATAGCTCATAGTTATGATTCTTATCTCATAACACATATTCACACATATACATGTTCTCATACAATCCCTTCATTCAATTATAACATTTAACCTAGTTTATTACACTAACATGTATTCACATCACTCATTTAACATACATAGCATATCATGTAACATTCTAATAGAACACATATGAGTCATATTACTTTCACATATATCTTACCTCTTATGATCACATAACCGATTATCACACATACATGCATTTACATGATTCATATAATAAGATGCACTCAACAATTAAACCTCTGCATTTACTCATATACATCTAGCACCATATTTCTACATGATCATTCTTAGGTACTCATAAACATCATATCATACTATACTTATATTCTTGTACTCATGTCATCTATGATCGGAATGAGACTCATCGCAAGTCTTAATTCCCTAAACATCACGTACACTTAATATCATGTACTCACCTGATCTCAATGAACACTCTTAAGCTCTTGTTCTTTTTTGCGTATCTTACTCTGTCGACCTATCCGAACTTTGCTTTCGATCAATGTCTACACAATCATGGATTGATACATATCATTATTCCAATTGATATACTTAAATATTTCATTTCTTAAACTAAATGAAAGATCCATTTCCATTTTCCCTTTGAAGTGTATCGATACACACTATAGGGTATCGATACATTCCTTCACTGGTGTATCGGTACACTGCCTATGTATCGATACACTAATTACATTCAATGTTTTGAGGGTATCGATACACTCCTCAGTGTACCGATACATAAATGTAATTAGATGTTTTGAGGGTATTGATACACTCCTCAGTGTACCGATACACATTCATACAAATACGCATATTCAACTCATAAGGTATCGATACCTCTCCTAAGGGTATCGATACACTAAACCCAGAATGACCATTTTCAACCCGAAAATTTAACACTTTGCCCCCAAATTTTACTTGTTAAGCCCTTTTTATGCCTTAAAACTTATTTATACATATTTAAACCTTCTTATAACACTTCACCATTTCTCATAACTAACCATAATTCTTGAATAAAAGAATTCCACCAATTTTTCCATCTATTCTAAATTCATTTCTATTACCTCCAACTTCTTAATTAAACTATTAACAAGTCAAAAATCTTATCCAAACTCTAAAAACCACTCCATATAAAAAAATCATCTTAAAATTCATTTTACAAATCCCTTCCTAATTCACTCATCTTATTGTTTAAATCTCATATAAGCTTATTTAACACTCAAAGAATCAAAAATCACTTGGAAATTCAAGGAATCAACAATAAAAATCCAACTTACATTGCTGCTAGAGTCCATG